CTTTAAAAAAAAAAAAAAAAAAAGATGTGGCCAAAATAATTACAATTAATTATACCAATCAACATTTTAAAATAAAGACACCCTATTTTTAGGTTCATATATATGAACAGTTATTTTTTTTATTTTTGGCAGCTGGCTGTTATGCGGATCTGAAACCTTGACTTTCACGTTATAATACTGTGCTCTAACCAACTGAGCTAACCGGCCAGCTATTTGAACAATCTTAATAAGAATATGAGTTTACTCCATTATTACTGTCATACAATATCTTACATATAGGGCAAAGTGTTACGTTGTGCTTGTTAATTGGTTTACCCAAATCGGCCATGCCCCACCACATGGGCTGAATAACTGGGTACTCAATATAGGATTCACGAAAACAGGACAAGGCCTATTTATTGAATGTGAGGGATAAAGAAAAAGATGGAATGGCATTTCTTGCCTTTGGAAGGATTCTGTGCCTTCTATTCTCCAATTTCTGGTTCCAAGGCAGAATATTCTCATGGTGGAGGTATTCTATCATAGCAAATATATGGCTCACACATGACCTATTTGAATTGTAGCTTGTTGGGACTCCTATCTTCAACCGCTTGTTTTTAGGGAACAATTTATAGGGATAGAGTTGGGTCTCAGAGCATATGAACAAGAAAGATATGCAATAGTCACAGTTCATGAACAGGGCTAGACCACTAATTGTGTTCAACTCATAGTCCACCAAAGCAGAGCCAGCTTCTCTGCTCTTAAAAGCACCTACTCAAGGCACTCCTGTCAGAAACAGGTGGCTATTTCTCACTGTATTATTTCCCTCTATGACTAAGAAAAAGCATGTGACATTCTTGATTTGTCTTGACATTGCTTAGGCGTAAGAGTTAAACACATGGAATTAAAAATAAAAACACTTTTGTGTTTGGGTCTTACTGACCTGTAGGCTATTGTTATTTTTGCTCTTTATTCGTAGTTTATAAACAGACTTCCATGTGCTTGCCTTTTCTTCAAGATAAGACCATTAATATGAGATGTTTTAGGAAAATCTCCATATAGTATTTACCATGAATTCTTATGCGAGAAGGAACTGTCAAAAGTCTTCTACTTCATCTTCATTAACTTATCAGCTGAAATTATTCCCAATAGCACTAAAAACTATATCCCCACATTTTCCTAGTGAAACCATTCACAGACAAACAAATGGAAGGAACAATAAATCTTTATTCATACCTGCTTATATGCTATAATATTCTTTGAACTATTAAAGTAATAAGACAGTCCTTCCATTAGATGTATGTGAAACAGACTAGAGCTGGTGTAACAGTAAGCTCCACAGTTGTCACAACAGTTCATGATGAGGTTGTTAGCGGAATGAAACTTGGAAAAGCAGGCATTACTGCAAAGACTATGTTTCACATTCTGGTATTTTACTTCAAACTGAATCTAGGATTAAAAAAAGAATCAGTAAAAACTCTGACATTTAAGCAGAATCCTCATAATCCCTCTAAGTTTTGGAAAAAATTACAACTTACAACAGTAGTCTTCTGACACATGCTGCACTTGGTCAAAATGCTATTAGTACATATGTTAACAAATCGTTTTCTTTTTTCTTCATACGATAAAAGACAAGATTGGCTGCAAAAATTTTTGCTGGAGGTATCTTCCAGCCGGACACGGATCACATCCTTTAGATTTAAAATGTCTCTAAAAATAAATAACAAGGACACCATTAAACACTTTTACAATTACAATTTCTTTCTCTTCATAAACTAAATGATACCCTCAAATGAACCCCTCCCCTATTTCATTTACCTGAACACCTGTGAAATAGTAGTACGAACATCAGTCTTGAAATAAGAAAACCTGAATTTGATATCCAGTTCTATTACATATTAAGCAAACTTGGATGTCATTTATACTCCCTAAATGTTAACTTCCTCATCTATAAAGTAGGGATTATAAAACATATTTGATAGTATAGTTTTTAGGACTATCTATTAGTTGGTGCTGGTGAAAATGATGAGAAACCACATATTCAAACCTACGCAACTTTGGAATCTACAGGACAGAAGATCTCAAAGTATGGTCTGCAAACCCCTAGAGGCTCCCCAAGATACTTTCAGGAGGTCTACATGATCAAAACTATTTTCATAATAATACTAAAATGCTTAGAGCACAGTGTTATAACACCAAGGTCAAGGGTATGGATCCCCTTACCAGCCAGCTGCCAACAAAACAAAACAAAATAAACAAACAAATGCTATTTGCCTTTTTTTTTTTTTTTACTGTATTGACATTTGAGCTGATGGTGCAAAGGCAATGGTGGGACTCCGCAATTCCACTCCTAGGTATACCCCCAAAAGAACTGAAAACAGGTACTTGAACAAGCACATGTACATGCATGTTCATAACAGCCCTATTCACAATAGCCAAAACATGGAAACGGCCCAAATGTTCATTGATAAATGAATGGATAAACAAATTGTGGTATACACATACAGCAGAATATTATTCACCTATAAAAAGCATGAAGTACTAACATATGCTACAATATGGATGAATCTCAAAAACATTTATGTTAAGGACAAGAAGCCAGACACAAAAAGTCACATATAGTATGATTCTATTTATATGTAATATTTAGAATAGATAAATCCATAGGTATAACTCATTGGTGGTTGACAGGGGCTGAGAAGAGTGAAGAGTGGGGAGAAACTGCTTAATGAGTAAGGTGATTTATTTTGGAGTGATGGAAATGTTTTGGAATAAGAGGTGGTAGTTGCACAACATTGTGAATGTACTAAATGCCAATGAAATGGTTAATTTTTTGTTATATGGATTTCACTTCAATAAATTGGGAAAAGAAAAAAAGTAATGGTGGGTAAAACTGTCAGAGCCTTAGCACAAATCAAGGCAGTGGCACCAAACTGTACTAGTACTCATGTTATTCACTGCCATGTGTTTGCTGTAAACAAAACCAAACATGTCAGTTTCAATTAAAAATGTCCTTAATGAAACAGAAAAACTTTTAAATTATTTAAACTTGATCCTTGAGTACATCTTTTTAACATTCTGTGTGACAAAATGGGACACAAGCATAAAGCACTTCCTCTGCACACCAAAAGATGGTTGTCTCAAGGAAAAGCTCATATAGGAACGTTAAGAGTTACAACCTGAATCAGCCACTTCTTTCATGAAACACATTTTTACTTGAAAATACAACTATAAGACAAACTATTTTGTTTTTACAGAGGCTCGCTAGTAGGGAATCAGAACCCTTGACCTTGGCGTTATTGGTACCACACTCAAACCAAGTGAGCTAACTGCCCAGCCAAGACAATCTATTACCCAGAAGGTATCTGGCAGATATTTTCTTGAAAATGAATAGTAAGACTGTCACTTCAAGGAAAACGGGGATCTAAACCGTTGACCTTGTTGTTATCAGCACCATGCTCTAATGGAGTGAGTCACTAGCCAGCCCTCCATTTTATAATTTTTGAGGAACTACAGGAGCCTTTAGATTGCTCAGCCCAAGGCCTCTTTCTTAAGGACAGACTGGTTCCCTGTGTTTTCCTTTTTCCTTGACTGAGGCCTACTTTCCACTTTTCTGGTAGCTGTCACCTCTGATCCTAAAATCCTTTGGAACTCTTTCCCTTCCTGCCACCTTAGCTTGGCTGCAGAGTGCAAGTGTCCTGTCTCCTGGACTTCCTTTCCTTCATCACTCCCAAGAAAAACAGATACTCTTAAAAAGGGATTTACTAATAATTATTATGGAGGTTAGAGGATAACTAATACAAATACTGAGAAGTTAATGTTCTTATAGGAATAGTTCCAGGTGTATGGTTTTATTCTGAGTTTAGCACATGAAAGACCTTAGTAATTCTACCATTATTTTTTATTTCTGAGGCTGGGGCTTAACCATCTCCCCTCATCCCCATCTTTGACTCAGACTTTATTGAAAGCTCTGATCCCAAGGCAGAATATTAAACAAATAAGGTCTGACTGTGAAGTGCAATAAACAGGTCGTAATAACTTCGTATAGCATACATTATACGAAGTTATACGAATACCTGGCTACCTAGAATCCTTAGAATATCAATCTTTGAGGATAATAGTTTTTAAGATGATCTACTCCTGAAATTAATGCTATTTCAACACTTCAACATTTTCAAATTTTTAGTGTATTAGGAACTTTCCATCTTTTAAAACAAGACAGTACTGAAAATAACAGGTTCATTTTATCATCACATTAGTCATTTTACTGATTTAAAATACACCTCTAGGTCCCCACATCATGGGCACAAGGGGTGACAATCAGTTTTTATCTCATGAATATTCATAACCAAAAAAAAATGGTGGTCAGGGCATGGTTCTAAGGGCTTTAAAAGAAGAGAGTCTGCCTTTTGCTCTGCTTCCACCATCATTTTTTTTTTTTTTTTTAAAAGATGACTGGTAAGGGGATCCCAACCCTTGACTTGGTGTTGTCAGCACCACACTCTCCCCAGTGAGCCAACTGGCCATCCCTATATAGGGATCTGAACCCATGGCCTTGGTGTTGTCAGCACCACACTCTCCCAAGTGAGCCACGGGCCGGCCTTGCTTCCACCATCTTGCAATGTAAAACACCTGGGTCACTGTCACCACCACCAGATGGACTTTGGACTTCCCAGCCTCAGAAACTGTAAGCAATAAATGTCATTTTTCTTTGTAAGTTATTTAAAAAAAAAAAACCTTTAGGACCAATGCGCCCCCCCCCTCCCCCCGCCGCAGTGCTACATTTTGGAAGATCCAAAATCACTGCTACATGATCAATTTTTCAGTAAGTTGCTCCCTATACAGTTAAATGATAGAACAGAAGGGCTACAAATGATCCCACTTATAGAGAATTTCAAATGAAAAGAATAGAAAAATAAGTTTTGGAAGTCATATTACTTAAAGTTGAATAGATACAGAACTCCTCACATTTTAATTTCTGCAAACCTCTCAATTAACAAAAAAACGATTTCTGAAGAATCTGTTACAGGAACTGAAAGCAGAAAGCAGCTTCTTTTCACTAAAACAAGATGATATGTCTCCAGAAAAAATGAAAATGTAGAAAATTACAACCAAGACTCTGATCAAGATCTATTTAGGGAAGTAAAAGGGGGCATAATTTAGAATTATATACTTTGAGCAATTTGAACAAGTTCTCTTGGTAGGAGCTGGTGAATTGGCAGATGAAATATACTCAGTGATGCATGGTATGGAGCAGAAGAACTGAGTAGACCCTTTCCTCTGATAAGCAGTTTGCCCCTTATGGAGAATTTTTTTACAACCAGAACAGGAAAGCTGATTAGCTGTGGTTGAAACTGAAGGAAGTATTTTATTCAAGCAAGGTGATGCCAGAGAAAGCTGAAGGCCTCCAGTCAACTGTGAAGCTATAAAAACAAGAGGAAAAAAAATTAGTATTTACATAAAATTAATTATACATTCTTTCATTTTCTATTAGAGGTTACTTCTCCTGGACTTGAAACCCACACAAACAGTGCAATATTCAAAGGCATTTTTTTTTCCTTTTTGTCTTTTTTTTTTACTGACCGGTAACAGGATCGCAACCCTCGGTAAGGCGCCCATACCGGGGACCGGCAACGGGATTGCAACCCTTGGTGTTGTGCCCGCACCGCGCTCAGCCAGTGAGCGGGAAACGGTCTCCACATGGGATCCGAACCCTCGGCGGGAGCGCTGCTGCGCTCCCAAGCGGCGCACTCTCCAGTGCGCCACCGGGCCAGCCCTCAAAGGCATTTTTAAAAAGAAGAATAAGATGGCTATCATACTGGTCAGAATAAATATGATTAATTTAAATAATTCTATTACCACTGTCTGAAAACGTAGTGTTTATTTTCAGATCATTCTCCTGAGTTTTGGGCTGTTGGACTTGACAATACTCCTAAAAAAGAGTTGAAAATGGTGAATACAATACATTCAAGACAACAGTCATTCATTAGAAAATGATAAATTATGCTCAAGTCTGTTCAATGAACTGTATAACTGAATTGAACCAAGGTACCTAGGTAAGCATTCTCCTTTTGGTGTCCTTGGCTGATTACATGAGTCACTTAATATATTATTTTCTGAAATCCAGATGTAACTTTATAATATTTATTAATATAGTTGCTCAGTAGCCACTACATATAGAAAGTAGACATCCTCAATGACACCTATTTTCCCTACTTGTTCTAATCATTAGGCCCAGAAATTATTAGATTGGGCTGAATGATTCTTATAAAGGAAGATTTTTTTTAGAGCAGCAGGCAATTTCATGGCCACCATATCTGTGGAATATATTATAAAGCATATGTACTTCACAGGGCCTGGTTTTCCAAAGCCTTGCAGTTTCAAATATTGACTTTGCAAAGGACAGGAACTTTTCCTCAGGCTATAAAGTCTCTGGTGTAAGATAAAGATTTGTGGCACAGCAAGGTTACTGGCTCAAGGACAGACTAGTTACTGATTGTTATGTAAAGATACAGAGAAATTGCTGTAAGAAAGGAATGTTTGCTAGATCAAACTTTTGTTGCTAGATCACTTAATTGTCTAATGGAATGTCATCTGACTTGTTTCACTGAAAGTTACCAGCCTACATTGTTTTTTTTTTTTTTTTTTTAAAAAAAAAGATGACCGGTAAGGGGATCTTAACCCTTGCCTTGGTGTTGTCAGCACCACGCTCAGCAGTTAGCTAACCGGCCATCCCTATATGGGATCTGAACCCGTGGCCTTGGTATTATCAGCACCGCACTCTCCCGAGTGAGCCACGGGCCAGCCCCTACATTGTTAAACTATAACCCAACCTATGTTCTCTTCTTGTAACTTCCTGGTCTGGAAAATAAATGCAGGAAGAGAACCCCAGTTTGGAGTTAATTTCCCAAGGAAGGGATGCCTCTTGCTTGAGGGTTCTGGGGAAGTTAACCACTTCGAGGCTTCTCACTGCTCAGAAGAGATGGGTTTTGAGTAATCCTTTGTGCCTCTGTCACCCAGGGGAAGTGGGGTGACAAATCTGTGGGGGGCAAAGCAACACATATCCAAATTTGATGTTTGAATGTCCATGGGTTGAAGAAGCAAGGTACGTCCTAGATGAATAACATTCCCCAGTATCACTAACTTGATGGGAATCACCCGTATTTAATACTGACCTACTTTAGACTATTTCTACACAGAATACTAGAAATAAATTTAAATACAATTCTCTGATTTACTTTTGTCTCATGAAAAATTTCAGCTGATTCATATATAAACATTCTAAGATCTGGACCTACTTATAGTACTCACAACTTGAGTCAGTTTATCCTTTATAGGCTCTTCAGTATGTGATATTTCTGTTTTTAAAAATTTAAACATGAAACTAACTTGGATAAAAAAAATTATAAAGAAAAATGTTTTAGGAACTTAAAATGTATTAATTCCACTACTTAATAGAGGCAGTAGCATAAAAACATACAATTTGTTATTTATATTTTTACTTACATGGTTTCAAGTTAAGAGAAACAAAAATGTGTTAACCTTAGCTAGGTCCTTAACACCCTATACAATCCTTTTATATAGTCAAAATCCCAACTGCAAACAGCCTATTCTCTCAAGTCATTTTCTTTCTTTCTTTTTTTTTAACTTTACTCATTTGTATTTTTTACTCAAATCACTTTCTTGCATATATGGTACTTGCTACAACATTTAATACCATATACCTTGTATTATTTGATCAAATGCTTTGGGAAAGATAAGGAGTTAAGTTTTTCAAACAGTAAACTAGCAACTTCATAACTAAGATTTATAATTAAATGCTGCTCTAGAAAAAAGCAAATAAGGTAAAATATTTACTTGACCATTGTCAGGTTCTGTCTTAATTTCATCTAGCCGTCCCAGCTGTGGTGTTACTGCCTTGTCACATTCATCACCTAAAGGTGGTTCTTTCATTTTGGCATCTGATGCAAAGGAATCCTGCAGTTCCAAACTAATGGGGTTCTTTGTGGAGAACAGTTTCCAGATTCCTAAAATAAAATATATTGATAAAGATTAGTCCTTTTAAATATGGGTTTCTAGACAACTCGGCATCAAGGATCCTTCACAGTACGAATACTGGCTTCCTTCCCTTTATCCATTATTTCTCAATATAGTTTTGCTTTACACTTCTCTGGCAGCTACCACCTCTGTGCTTTCTTCTGGAACTAGTCTCCATTTCTGTTCCCTCTGGATGCAACAGAAAACCACCAAACCTACAGGTCTTAGAAAATGGCTGGCCTGTTGATAGGTCAGTTGGCTAGACCATGGTGCTGATAACACCAAGGTCCATGGTTTGATCCCTGTACCAGCGAGCCACCAACAAAAACAAAAAATAGTCTTAGAAAATGTAAAGCCTTCTAGAATTTGAAGTTAATCCAATTACCTTTGCTCAGTACCCCCTGTCCCGCCCTCCAGTTATCCACTCTCATCAGCTTCTTCAACTCCTCTTCCCCTACATCTTGGTTCCTCTCACATAAACACTTAAATACATTCGCAGGTGGGCCCTAGTGCTGGTAACACCAAGGCCAAGGGTTCGGATCCCACTGCTGGTCAGCTTCCCCCCACCCCTCCTGCCAAATACATTCAAGGATCCAATTTCTAAAGCTATTACCTTCTCTCTGATCACTCCTCATCCTTGAAATTTTCTATTTCCTTGAAGTCAATGACTTTTAAACTTCCTATTTCTCCTCTTACCTCTTTGCCAGTGTTTTCCAATAACACTTATTTTACCTGCTTCTAAAATATGTGTGTTCCTCCAAAACACAATTCCCCAGTACTCTTCTTACTTAATTGATGGGCACAACCTTAGATTCAACTATCCCCTATAGACTGATTTTCCCCTACATTCCTGAGCTCCAGTCCATATACCTAACTGCCTATTAAATATCTCCATTTTTTTTTCCTTTTTATCGTTTTTACTGACCGGCAACGGGATTGCAACCCTCGGTGTTGCGCCCGCACCGTGCTCAGCCAGTGAGCGGGAACCGGTCTCCACATGGGATCCGAACCCTCGGCGGGAGCGCCACCGCGCTCCCAAGCGGTGCACTCTCCAGTGCGCCACCAGGCCGGCCCTAAATATCTCCATTTGGATGCTCCACAGGTCCTTCAAACTCAAGAGATTTAAAACTGTGAACGCTGAAAGAGCCAATTCGTTGAGACAATCCTAAGTGGCTTAACTGGGTCTAAATACTGAACAGAGCCGAGTAACCATTTGCTGACTAGAGGTTACACACGTACCCTGTCTGGGGCTTTCACAGCCTGCCTATGCAACTGGAAACTGCTGTGTGGCCTTCACCAACTGAATTTAATTAATGAACTGCAACCTGCCAAGTGTTAACTGGCCAGAATTCTGCAAGCCAGAATCTCTCATTTGCATAGAAGGACCAGAATGGGAACCTGCGTGGGAAATTTTGCCATATAAGTCTTTCCCTCTTTCTGGCAGCATTTTCACTTTGTAGCAAAGACTGCATCTCCCTAATTTGTGAACTGTTTACCAAATAGTTTCCCTTATCTCCAAGTTCTTTTCCAGTAAAATTTAACAAAACTATATTCTTATATTACACCCACAAAACTATTTCACATATTTCCCTTTTTAGTAAGTGGCACTATCGTATATACCCAATTTCCTAAGCCAGAAATCTAGGAGTAGTCCTCAATTCCTCTTCTTCCCAAATCTAATTACCAAATTGGATCTAATCTATCTTCTAAATATGTCTTGAATCTATTTTTCCACTATACATCATGCCTGCTTCTCCCTATCCCCAAATCAATGGATTCCTTTTTGGTAAACAGCTAGCTAAGATCCAAAAACACAGCATAAAAGATTGTTGTGAATTCACTTAAAAAAGAATTCCATTTTATAATTTTTTTTTGGTGGCTGGCCTGTGAGGGGATCTAAACCGTTGACCTTGTTGTTATCAGCACCATGCTCTAATGGAGTGAGTCACTAGCCAGCCCTCCATTTTATAATTTTTGAGGAACTACAGGAGCCTTTAGATTGCTCAGCCCAAGGCCTCTTTCTTAAGGACAGACTGGTTCCCTGTGTTTTCCTTTTTCCTTGACTGAGGCCTACTTTCCACTTTTCTGGTAGCTGTCACCTCTGATCCTAAAATCCTTTGGAACTCTTTCCCTTCCTGCCACCTTAGCTTGGCTGCAGAGTGCAAGTGTCCTGTCTCCTGGACTTCCTTTCCTTCATCACTCCCAAGAAAAACAGATACTCTTAAAAAGGGATTTACTAATAATTATTATGGAGGTTAGAGGATAACTAATACAAATACTGAGAAGTTAATGTTCTTATAGGAATAGTTCCAGGTGTATGGTTTTATTCTGAGTTTAGCACATGAAAGACCTTAGTAATTCTACCATTATTTTTTATTTCTGAGGCTGGGGCTTAACCATCTCCCCTCATCCCCATCTTTGACTCAGACTTTATTGAAAGCTCTGATCCCAAGGCAGAATATTAAACAAATAAGGTCTGACTGTGAAGTGCAATAAACAGGTCATGTGGTCTCTGTCTAGCCCATTTGAACATTACACACAACCAGCAAAGCAAAACTCACTGGAAATTAGCTACTATATTGTCATTAAGTAGATTCCCTTCGGTGGAAAGTAAATATGCTATGCAAGTCTAAACATCAATTAAAAACAAAGCATCTATGTGCTTTGGCATCTTGGAACTCCTTTAAACATGTCATCACACAAATAGGAAAATAATGGGAAGCACCCTGAAAAGTTTACTAATTTACAATATTTCTGAGGCAGTGGAAAATGGTATGTAACATTTGTCTAGCTATGAGGAAAACAAAGAGCCAAAAAAAAAAAAAAAAAAAAAAAAGTTCTTCAAGAAGTTCGTGAAAAAAAAGAATTAAAAGATAATACGAATCTTTCCGTGAACTTTTTGAAGTACCCTTGTATATGAATGACAAATCCATTACTTCCTTTTCCAACAAGATGCACGTTATAGTAAAATAAACCCTAGAGACTTTCTTTTAAAATAGTCCTATCCATCTTTCCAAACTAGGGCTAAAACACAGTATGTCAGAATATTAATAGTCAAAGGATAAATGTGGCACATGTTCCTGCTGGTCAATACTATATAGTAGTAAGTACTTGAAAACATTTTAATTTAAACCA